TAGTATCAATATATTTAAACTACAAAAAAAGGCCATAAAAATGATTACAAATTCCAGAAATAGGGATTCTTGTAGGGAGTTGTTTAAGAAACTAGATATATTACCGTTTTATTCTCAGTATATATTTTCATTACTAATTTTTGTAATTGATAATATCTCCTAATTTAAAACAAATTCAGAGTTATATGATATCAACACCAGAGGTAAAAATAATTTTTACCCTTCACAGCCAAGGTTGTCTATCTATAAAAATGGTGTTTATTATATGGGTATAAAGGCATTTAATCACTTACCTCCTTGCATAAAAAAATTGTCTGGTAATTAGAATCAATTTAAAAATACTCTAAAATAAAAAACTACCTTCTATTGAATTCTTTTTATTCACTGAAGGATTTATTTAATAGTAATTACAGATTTTAATGTAAATTTTTAAGGTTTTATGTATCATAGGTACTTTACTTTGGTATAAATATGTTATCATCTACCTTTTGGTATGATGATTTTTTACACTTATTTTCATAGCGTGTGTATTTTAGTTACCAGTCTGTGACTGGTTCTATATCCGTCAGGCATATTTGTAGCCTAGATTGGATCGATGGAATTTTACAATGGAATAAATAAGTAAATAAACATAATATGCACTTTTCTGAAAGCACAAGAGGTTAGCAATTGGTTTATGAAGACATAAAAGAAATAAGTATAAGTGGATGATCACTTCGACTGCTCTGTCTACAGTGCACACATATATTCTCACGTCTTGATACATGGTTTCTGGCATCAGTTTTTGTATCCCCCTCCCAAGTAGAATGTCATATTGAATTAAATTGAATTTATTTACATTCTATAAATCCTAAGTAGGTTAGTACCTTTGGATACAGAACACATCAAAAGGTTACATACATAAGTACAGGCAATTTTAGCTTAAAAATTAATATAACTTAATTTTACATCATTCTCTATTTACATTGAAGTATTCATCTAATGAGTAGAAGGAATGAGCATGTAGATAATTCTTTAACTCTGATTTAAACTTTTTAGTATCATTGCCCAAGTTTTTAATACTTTGTGGCAGATTGTTGAACACTTTTATGCCAGTAAAGTAGACTCCTTTTTGATATACTGATAAAGTTGATGAGGGTAGGTGGAAGTTATATTTTTGTCTAGTATTCATGTTATAGACATCAGAATTTAATTTGAATTTATCTTTGTTGTAAACAACAAATAAGAGAAGCGATAATATGTATTGCGATTGAAGAGGTAGAATTTTTAATTTCTTAAATAATTCTCTACATGAATCTCTACTTCTACATCCTGTAATGATTCTAATTATATTCTTTTGTATTTTAAAAATTATTACACTATGTGAAGAGTTCCCCCAAAATATTAATCCATAGTTCATAATAGAATGAAAGTAGGCATGGTAAACCATCTTCAATGTTTCCTGTGACATAAAAGGCTTAATTGATCTCATCGCATAGCAAGCTGCATTTAATTTAGGTATAATTTGTTCAATATGTATTTTCCAAGACAGTGTACTGTCTACATGTATTCCAAGGAATTTTGTATCAAGTACTTTACAGATTAATTTGTTGGCATAACTGATGTCCAGATCAATTTGGTGGTTGTTTTTAGTTGTGAATGATATGTAATGGGTTTTATCAAAATTTAATGAGAGTAAATTGGCTTCGAACCATCTGTTTAAGGCTTCAAATACAATATTTATGTCATTTTTAAAGTTTTCAAATTTAGAGTTCTTAGAATGTAACAAAACTCATGTAAGATTACATTTGATGCAGAATATTTTCAGAGTTTTGGGGAACACTGGGATTGTAGGGTGCTTTTTGCAAGACCAAATTGTACACCTAACTGGCAGACCAGTAATGTAGTTGGGACTGTGTTCCTCTGATTTCTGAACTGTCTCACTTCAGTGTTGTGGAGCTTCATGATTATGTAGTATGTAATATGTTCTGTTATTGAGGAATGTTGTTACTAACCAACCATTCTTTTGTGTTGTGTTTACAGTTTTCTTCATTGTTTAATGAACTAAGAGATCTTAGTGAAACACTCAAGAAGTCAGCCCAATCCAAAACTACTGCTTCATCTCAGAGACGAACAGCAGAAACCCAGCGACGCACTTATTGTAATGTCTTTCCTACAACCCGCAGACGCTCTGTTCGGATCAGACGTTCTACAAGACTTAAACAGTAAGTTCATAAGATTGAAATAGAATTTTAATTGACTATTCCAAATTTTATATTTGCACATTTTATTTATTCTTTTATATCTTGAAAGTTCTGTCCTTAGTTTTATGTTGTTTGAATGTACATTGTAGTGTATGATGAAATATAAATGCAGTGCTGGATTCCTCACTTCTGTCTCATTGTCCTTAAAAAGTCCTTCTGCCATAGTATCACTCCAGTTGTTTTAGCTGAATAGCTAAAGATTTGAACAAAGAAGACAAAATGGACACCACAGCACATTGTATCAACAGTGATCACTACTGTACATTTGACTGATGGAATGAAGTTTGTATATTGAATTCTTGCAGACTGAAGAATAATTATTATGTTTGTGATGAAGAAGAAGAAGAAGAAGATGATGATGAATGGGATGAAGATGATTATGGCAGTGATAATAATCTGAGTGTGAAGAAACTTTTTTTTGTGCGTTTTCCATGTCAAGAAAAGTTTAGAGTGAAAGTTGCCAGTAATGAAGTTATTGATGTGTGGGAAGGAAGCGAGAGTGAGGTAAGTTGGTTGGCTTTAAAGCTTTATAATTTGTACTCCTCGCCAGTTATTATTAGGGTGATTAAGCCAAGAAGGATAAGTTGTGTATGGCATGTAACATACAAGTGGGAGAAGCAAAGTGCATATGAAGTTTTCTTATGAATTGAAGGACAGAGATCATTTGGAAGACCTAGGCAAAGATAGGAGGATAATATTAAAATGGATCATAAAGGAATAGGATGGGAGGGTGTGGATTGGATTAATCTGGCCCAGGATAGGGCTCTTTTGAACACTTTGATAAACTTTAAGGTTCCATAAAATTGTGGGAATTTCTTTCCTAGCTTAGCAACTCATGTGTTCTGAGGACTCTTCTAGTTGGCTTGCAAATAATAATTGGAAAAGGTTTAATTGATTGGTATTGAAATTTTGTTGGTGACGTTGACAGTTGTGTGATGTTCTCCTACATTTTAGAAAATGCTCTACAAATAATTGTATAGTATGTTGTCTTTTGGAGCACATGGTAGTGTAGATGGTTGAGGCACTGTGCTACAAGCTGAAAGGTCTCTTGTTCAATTGCCAATCAGGTCATTGAATTTTTTCAGTTTACCTAATCCTTCCAGCCACAATATGGCCCTGGGCTCAACTCAGCCTGTAACAGAAATGAATACCAGGAAGATTCTTGGGGAGGTTAAGGATGGCAGGCACGCAAGGCTAACAGCATTACTGCCATCTGTGAGCCAGTTGTCTAGAAGATGTTGGAGCCTTGACCTCTCACACCCATATGGGCCTTCACGGCCTGTTACACGGACAGTTTTTATTGTTTTGATTAAGGAGGATTATACTTATCCAGCTGCAGCATGTTTACAGGGACTTCCTCTATGTCTTCAGTTGTTTATTATATTCTGATGAAAAAAGCTCATAGTCAGATCTTGGTCCTATATATTTATACTTTCATATATGTGAGATTTCAAATACAATTTGTAGCCTGTACAGATACTTTATATATTACATACATGTTTGTTATAGTGACAGGTTGTAGAAGATTTTACAGCTTTGTCCATGTGAATTTCTATGATATCTATGGAATTTGATTTACAGTAATTTTGCTCTTCCCCCCCCCCCAGCAGTATCTCTTCATAACTTTGGGAAGTTCAGAACATTGAATTGCAGATTTTTGTGGTGTTTTCACAGGATCTGTCAGATGAGGAAGAGCTGTTACCTCAGAGACAGATCAAGAGACATACAGCAGAAGTACCAATTGTCCTCAGCCCTGAGGAGGTGACAGAAGATGACATCAAAAATGTTGCCCAGAAAAGTGGAGGAAAGATATATTCTTCAGAACGTGGTACATGCTGTCATCAATGCAGGTACTTACACATTCAATATTCAGACTCAAGCAACTTGTTTGTATCTTTATTTCTTGCCAGATGGAAGCCATATCAAAGGATCTAGTCATACTTCATAATGAGCTAGATTGTGAATGTTTGAGAAGTGCCAAGACCAATGTATGGATCTAGCAAAGATGAAATCAGAATAAAGAACTTCACAGTTTATATTTTTTACTTAATGTTATTAGAGTTATTAAAGTTAGAGGATGAGATAGGCAGGACATGTAACAGGGATGAGGAAACTAGAAACTGATATGAAATATGTCATGCTGATTGTCATAATTGATACATATAGTTGTGTCTGGTGTGCCGTGGTAAAGACCAGCTGTAACGTTGCTATGATGTGGGTTGTAAGTCACTACTGCTGTCTGAGAAGAAAGCAGAGGATCATATCCATAACAGTTTTGTGTGAAGGAACTCTGAAGCGGTGTAACCAAAGTGATGTCAAACAGGCATTAGAACTTCAGCATAGAATTTTTGCATTGAAATCTCACCAAAATGTTAAGATGAAAATACTCACTACACACTGTGCTGCAGAATGTAACTGTTATTGAAAATTATTAAATATAGAAGTTAGCATTGAATCAGTTACTTGCATAATGTCTCCTTGCAGGCAGAAAACATTAGACACCAAAACAATGTGTCGGTCTGGTAGCTGTGTGGGTGTTCGAGGCCAGTTCTGTGGACCATGCCTCAAGAATAGATATGGAGAGAATGCAGAAAAGGCTTTGAAAGATCCGGTAATATTTATTATGTTTTGATTATTACGATGAATAGACAGTAATATAATCATTATGTATGAAACAGTGACTAGAGGCTTAACTTATGCTGTATGCTACACAGGTTGTTTAAATAAGGAATGATATTCATACAACCTTCTATGTTGAATGAATGACTGCATAAGGGGTGGGCCCTTCTGGCCTTTGCACTGCGACCTTCAGTGATCTATTGTGCTTCCCCATTTTTGTTTAACTCTTTATCAGTCCTACACCTTGAATGAAATGTAGGACTTTGTTTATGGGTGTGTGTGTGTGTGTGTCATAATAGTCACTTGGTTCCATAAAAAACTGGTACAACTGATAAAATCTTAAGTAAGCTCTTGCCTCACAATCAAGGATATGTGTGGCTGGTTCATCTTTTTCTAGGCACCTTTCACAAATGGGGTCATCTGTTAGTCCACTACTGCAGTGGAGTGTCAGTACTACTGACTCCCAAGAGAGAGGTCCTTGGTTTTACCCCGGGCAGGTTTGTCACCACTGGTTTGTCTCTGCCTTTGGCGGAAATCTCAACAGCAGGTTCGCTGGTTGCAACCGGGCCCCTTAATTGTGCATCGGAGCTTGCAGCCCCCTACTGAAGTATTTCTCTTAAGGATCTTGAAGGGGAGTCCCTCTGCCTTTTTAGGTTCTGGGGCCTGTTGTTTTAGGTCTCCACAGTGGTGCCACAAGTAACGGATTTAAAAGGTCACCACCTGCAATGCCCCATATGGGTGGAAGGCATAAATATAGCGGTGTGCTGCCTGGAGCCCCAAAGGGATCATTCATGACACTGGGTAATATCCACTCCAGTGCCGCAGAGCCCTTGGCATGATTCCTCGCACATTATCTTAGGTGGTTTGGTCCTGTAGAGAATAAAATTCTCATGAAGCCTCCACGACCTAAAGTATATGTTTGGGGGGAGGGGGATGTCCCAGATGACCATGTGGTTGCTACCAGGGATAACAATATGAAAGGATCACCCCTTGGGGTGGCAGGTCACCCCTTATTCCCAGCCTGAAGGCTTGTGGCACCTTAATGGGAGACAACTCAAGTAGCCAGAGCTACCTCCATATGAGTGCTGTCCCGCACTCATCCCAGGCAGACTGTAGTAATACCTGAGTCATAATGCCGCCACATGGGAGGTTCCAGTCATAAGACGCCATTGCCCTTTATGGGAGCTTAGCCTCTAGTCCCAGCTTGTCATAGTAATCCAGAACCTGAGACTGACATTGCCCAGTGGGACCACAAGGAGGTGCCGCAACAAATCCCCTGGTCCTTGATGCACCCCCACCAGTGACACAGCTGTAATTCGGCCAACCTCATTGAGGATGGCATCATTACTACCTGTAATGTATGACCTTAAGTGGGTCATAGTTACTCCCACCACCTTTTATGTTACATATGTTACCACAGTCCATACTGCTATAAAGTATGAAATTTATACTCTGATTTTGGTAGAAGTTTGCATGTTTAGTCAGCAGTTAATTTTTTATCTGTTATTTTTCCAAGATTTGTCAACATTCTTGGTAGTCACCACAAGCAAGTGCAGTGCAGCAGGTAAAATAACTGTTTACAGGATTGGGCTTGTCCACCATGTCGTGGACTGTGCAACTGCTCCATCTGCCGTACAAGAGAAGGCAAAAAACCGACAGGAATTTTGGTTCCATTTGTTAAAAGTGAAGGTTATAGCAGTGTGAAAGAGTACCTGCAGTTTGAAGAAGACTGAGACAGTATTAACAGATATGTATGTATATTTACTCATTGGTCATGATGCATATCTGTGCTCAATTTATCCTGTTGCCTTGTGTTATTATTATAATTGCTTTATAATAATGTCTAGATTTTAGATGAGCAGACTGTGGAAGGATATTCTTCTCCACATGTTTCTTTGGTCTTAAGTAAAATTAATTTCGTGTAAATGCAGTAGATAATTATCTTCAAGGCAGGGGCAAGATGTTTTTGCGAACACTTTGTGTCCATAGCTGATTGCATGCAGCAATGGAAACATTTTAGACAAATTATGGGTATTATAGAAGTTTGCTCCATTTGCAATATAGCATACATTGTGTAAGTTGTACGTAACATGTGTTTGCAAGGTACAAGCTGTGTTAGTTTATTACAGGCCTCACCATAGCTCAAGCGGTTAGTCGCTGGCTTCCCACCACGGCAGCCCAGGTTCAATCCCTGGTCTGGTCAAGTGGGATTTGTGGTGGACAAAGTGGTGCTAAGGCAGGTTTTCTCTGAGTACTTCGGTTTCCCCTGCCAATCTTCATTCCACCAATTGCTCCACAATCACCCTCACCTATCATCTGGGGCTGGTACAATAGGCCAGAAGTGGCCGCAGTACAAGGGACTTAGTCCCACCCCACAAGTAATAAAAAAAATAGTTTATTACAGGAACACGTGTTTCACAGGTTGTCACTGAATGCACTGGCACTGTATAAACATTTTAACCTGTCTGTTTGGTGGGACTAAATGGTGTCTCATCTTGGAGGTTAGAGTAAATCACATCACTTAACAAGATGTACATAATTAATTTAGCATCATATTTTATGTGCAGCTTTCTTGCTGCTTTTATATCCTGCACATGAATAAGATAATCAAATAAACTTAAGATATCAATACAAATTCAATATTTGGTCCCACATAAAACAAAACAAAAAATGAGTAAAACAAAATTAAACATGAAAAAAATGTAAATATGAAATGTTTGAATAAAGAATTATCTTCCTTGCAGTGCATGTTTCTGATTTGGCACATTTTCATATAACACCTTTGGTTTATTCCATGGCCAGGCACCCACATAATTCACATGAAATTTTCATTCATTCAAAAAACATGCATGCAATATATCATATAGTGTATTTGTATAGTATACATATATTTGTATAGTGTATTTATATATGTTAGTGTAGCTGATGCCAATATAATGTTGACATATGCATTTTACCTATGGTATAATTGTTTGTAGTCATTATTGAGTATCAGCCTGTGTACGTGACTTAAAGGTATTGACCAAAGTACACTGCTGTGTAACAGTGTTTGTAATTCTGCAGCAAGATACAGGTACAGTAAGTTGTTTGGTATACTTGGTTTATGTTGAAATGTTATTTGAAAAGTACAAAAAGTTATGTAGCATGTTGCTATATGTTAGGGCTAAGGAAAAGCTAATTTGAATGTCTAGCTTACTTTTGTGATAGTCTACAGTTACCAACTCCATGCATGTTGTAAGACACATTTTTGAGTGCCTTAAACAACACTGAAGCCATTTGCTCGCCAGTGTTTATTTTAGATAATAAAATATTGTTTAAATATGTTTGCATACATTTTTTATCCCTCCATTGCACCTAAATATTGAGTATCCTGTCTCAGATTTAAAAGTCTTGATACTAATTGTGTAAACTTGTGGTATTATCTGCTGAGGATATGTGGTGTTACATGAAGTACTAGTATTATTAAAGTTGAGTACTTTCATGAAACGTGGAAGACAAGAGGATCTTAAATGGAATGACTGCATGACGTTGCTGTCAACTGGTATCATAGTGTCCTTTTCAGTAATTAATTCCTTGGGGCTGATTCCATATTGAGAAGCCAAGAGATGCTAAGTCATTCAAGAAATTTCTAGCACTTTTATAAAACCCAGAGGATCATTGCCTTCTTCACAAGAGCCTGCCACAGATCTATCCTGAGTCAAATGAATTTAGTCCATACTCCCCATCCTCTTTCTTTAAAATATTTTAATATTATCTTCCCATCTACATCCAGGTCTTCCTAGTGTTAGCTTTCCTCTAAGTGTTCCTACCAAAATGCTGTATCTGTAACTAAACAGCAAGAGAAAGACCACATAATTTTATTTATATATATATATATATATAATTCAGTAAATACTGCATTACATATTGTATATATTTACATTAGCAAAATTCACAATTAATAAACAAGAACACTTTCACAGGATATACAGTGGAATCGAATCCCATTAAAAATATTATGGAACAATATAAATAAAAGTTGTCCAATGAAGACACATAAGAAAGATGACTACATGCCATTTGTACATATCAGTACCATATAAGATGAAAATTATATGTTGTAACAGAACAAAATGAAAATTTTCAACACTGTGCTGTGGGGAATGCAATATACAGAGGGGTCCAAAAAAATGTACTCATTCTTTGATAGTCAGTATCTTTAGAACAAAATGACATGTAGTTAACAATTCTTGCGCAGAGAGAGGGAGTCATTGTATGTGTTCGAAGTGACAAACATCAGCGGCTAAACAGCGTTGATGCAGCCGAACTGCTGAGCGAACTATGAATGTCAGTGTGTCCGGTGTGATGGCTGCACACGACGCTTCAATGGTTTCTCTTAACGCGTTCAGTTTAGCTGGCTTTTGTTGATAAACTTCATCCTTCAAGGTTTCCCATAGGTAGAAGTCGAGAGGTGTTAGGTCTGGAGACCATGGTGGGTACTCAATAGCACCTCTTCGACCTATCCATCATCCAGGTAGAGTGTCATCCAAGTACGCCCTGACATCTCGATGGTAGTGAGGTGGAGCACCATCTTGTTGTAGGTAAAATTTCTCATCTCCAAACAGCTCTCGAATGGCAGGGAAAATCGATGTCTGAAGCGTATTGCAGTACACCTGACCAGTGTTGCAACACCACAGCACTGGAAGCTGGACCTGTTACTATCTGTCACCCAGATCTTTGCTTATGCACATCATGAACAGTACCGTCAGCTTCAAATTTATCCCGAATATGAGCAATTGTTTGATGTGTTGGTAGCTGAGTTCCAAACTCATTCTGCCATTGTCGTTGTACCTCTTTAATGTTTTCGTACTTCCAGTACCACTTCAATACAGCCTTGCGTTGCTCAAAGAACAACCTTTCAGCCATTGTTGCTGTTGTCTTCTGCTTGCAGCGTGCATGCGGCACAACAGTCACGTGATTCATGTGACCTTTGCCATCTGTTGAGAAAACATTACACTACAGTATTGTGCAAGAATTGTAACTACATGTCATTTTGTTGCAAAGATATTGACTATCAAAGCGAGTACATTTTTTTTGGACCCCCCTGTATTTAATTCTTTTTGAACAGACATGTTATCTTTCACATATACATGCAAGTAATATACAGTTGGAACAGCTATTCACATTAGAATGTTAAAACAGAATACATAAATATAAGATTTATAGTTCAATCTTGATTATATGGATGCTTAAAAATGGCTTCAGTATACTATAAGTAATTATGCAATAATGAGTGATCATTTATACTATGTAATTAATGTTCATTCAGCCATCTTCATATAAAAATTGTATTCTTGCTTCAGTAGGACATAAATACATGAGAGAAAAGGGTACATTTGAGATGAACAGAATAGCAGCCTTTATCCCTTCTTTTTCTGTGGTTATGTGTTTCCTGAGATTTTTGTTCTTTTATGGCACTGTGGACCAATGCGGTCTAAGGCCTCCAGTTTCCAGGTTTCAGAAACTTAAGTACAAACATTTTTGTGGGACTCCTTGGACAGACAATCAGCCCATCACAAGACCTCTACATACACAGGACAACATTAATATAGAAAATACACAGACATTCATTCATGCTTTGACTGGAACTCAAGCACATGATCCCAGCATGTGAACAGTACAAGACAGTACACACTTTATGATCGTACATGGTCACTGTGATCACTTGAGGTTTCTCGTGCCACTATTATCCTATGTTATGTGCTGGAGGAGGCTTAAGTAAGAATATTTTAAAATATTTTGCCTTAACTGTGCATATGATTCCCAACAAATATGTGATGACAGATACTTCATTTACTGTTCCTTTTTATTACTTACCATACAGAAACAAAATATCATAAAAACAAAGGACTCTCAGTTAAGGAGAATTTAATGCATTATGTTACATTCATTATGCCATTAAGTTTGGTTGAAATAAAATAAACTTGTTTAAATAAAATTCCAGACACACTGGAAAGTCTCAGATATTCTCCTTCTGTTAGATCAGATATGCTGGAAGTACTGTGATAGGCGTGTCTGCAAAATCAGGCATTCCATATTATATGTGTGCTGCCATTCAGCAGTTATAAACAAAGTTAATAGTAGCCATAGACTTGATCTCTCAATTAAGAAATGTGTGATTTTGAATGAAGTATGGTTTTATTTTGTGAATGTTTGATGGTATAAATATTAAATTACTTCANGGTTAACACCACATATACACGGTGCCAAATCCCAGAAGACTGCTTTCTTCAAAGTTAATAGTTTCCATAGACTTGATCTCTCAATTAAGAAATGTGTGATTTTGAATGAAGTATGGTTTTATTTTGTGAATGTTTGATGGTATAAATATTAAATTACTTCAGTCTCAATTTTGGCTATTTTCTCAAAAATGACCCACATATGAAAAATCTGTATAGAATTAAACTATTGTAACGTGTTTTGCTACTGAAGACAATGTTTGGATTGTTAATTGGTTTACTTAACAAGCTACAATTAATTATAACACTGTTGCATGTTCACACAATTTACAAACCCTACACGCTATTCTCTTCACAGTCTATCTTCAGTAGTCTTCACGTTTTTATAACGCGGGAGCTATACATCATCATCAGTAATCTGTCAGATGACAGGTCCACAGTCTCCTCCAAAACAGTTCTTCCACTTAATGCGATCATTGTCTCCAGAGGAAACATCTCGCATGCGTGGTATCTCTGTTTTCGGAAAGAGACTATCCAGGAAAACCGATAATGTGGTAGTTTTTCCATTTGCTTTCCACATCGCAGTACAACAGCCGTTCAAATCACTCTGGTCACGCCTGTTGCTATACGAACTTGAACCATCTCGAGCATCATTTGCTCTGTGCTTCAGGTCACTGCTTCCGGCATTAGTTTTTCGTTTTTGGTGTCTCTCTTCATCTGATGCCTACCCTTTTGACCTGTCCAGCAAGGGAGGCCCTGCCAGTAGCTATGCTACCGCTGGTATAGCTCTCAGGGTCCTTGGCATACTCAAACCCCCTCACCACGATGAGGTGGAGACACCAACAAGGGGTGACTTGGTGACTCTGAATAAATGGAGGCGGATCGCATCTTTCAATTGTCTGTCTTATCAACTGTCGATGGTAGGCTCTGCGCCTACCATGGTTGTAACGGGTAATGGGTAGTCAGGGTTCGATTCCGGAGAGGGAGCCTGAGAAACAGCTACCACATCCAAGGAAGGCAGCAGACGCGCAAATTACCCACTCCCGGCACGGGGAGGTAATGAAAAAAATAACGATATGGGACTCATCCGAGGCCCTGTAATCGGAATGACCACACTCTGAAGACTTTAACGAGTATCCATTGGAGGGCAAGTCTGGTGCCAGCAGCCGCTATACAAGTCTCTGTGAATTATACACTCCCAATATAATTGTACTACAGCACACATAAAATCTTGAGGTCACACAATAAGTCTTCACTGGCTGACTTCTCAGTTATCGCTCACTGTCACAGATTATCACATAAAATCTTCTAACCACGCGTTCGGTTCTTATTCCCGCGGCTGCTGCTATATTTCAACTAACTGCTTAGGTATTCCAGTCTCTTATAAATCCTCAGTCGGACAGCGGAAAACCCACCTCACTTCACTGTTGTGTAAACGCTGTGTTTACAGGCATTGCTGGGCAACACTGCCGAGAGTTGTTTATTGCTGCGTAGCAACCAGCGCGTTTTGGCATGGCATGGAGAAACACCACTATCCTTACTGTTGTGTAACCTGGCAACCGACTGTTTATAAAGGGTCTGTCTTTGTGGTAACTTGTTCCACCTCCCGTTGCCCACCAACGGTTAGACATGTCACAATATGTATTTCATCAACACCCACAAACCATTATTGGTAGAATTATTAAATTTGACGTACATATAATGAGACACACAAAATACAAACTTTCCAAAAAAAATATAATTGCCTGGCAATATCCAAGTTTATATTTTGCAACTAATATATAATGAAGAATTTTCCATAAAAAATTCTGTCAGATCCATCAAAGGTTACAGAAGTTGAGAGACATAACAACATGTACCCATAAGGAGTTTATTTTACCACTTAATGTAAATATGCCCAAAGAGTCCATATGGTCCAGGACACAGTTATTTGGCACATAATCATGCATCACTCATGAAACAGATGAACAATGTTACAAAGAAAAATTACTATATATATTATCAGCTTTACATTAAACATGTTACCAAATTGTATGAATTCTATGTAACATAAAAAGGTAATACTTCTTCATGCTATAAGTCTCTTACCTTGAACAGTAGCTTGGAAAGAAAAATCAAATTAGGACATCTTCATTTCCTTTCATACACAACATTTAACAAGTGAGTTGTATAATGTTATAATACAAAAACAGTCAACTTTCGTCTTTTAATTGAAGAGTATAATATCAGTCCTCTCCTACTTTAATACGTAGGTCATACTGAAAGTCATGAGCAACTTTTTTTTTGCATGCAACCTGGGAACAGCAGATGAAAGAGAGTACAGTGTAGGTGGAGCCAGCTGTTGTGTTAACCTTGAGTGTCTTGTGACGTCAATAGCTTTCATCACGTGACCAGTATCACTCCTAACAAAATGGCCGACAACGATATGTCATTTCGCCAGCGTGCTGTCATCGAATTTCTTCTGAAAGAGGAAATCCCTGCTGCAGAAATTCACCAAAGACTTGAGCATGCTTATGGAAGTGTGTGCATGGGTGCGAGCAGTGTTCGAAGATGGGTGAAACATTTTGAAGATGAGAACACCAGCATCAAAGATGAGCCTCGGAACGGTTGTCCTCAAACAGCCTCAACTGAACGCAACAAGGAAAGAGTGGATGAGATCATTGAAGATGACAGGCATGTGACTGTGGACACAATAGCCCGAAAACTTGGACTAGGGCACAGTGCAATAAAGGAGATGATTGAAAGCTTGGGCTATAGGAAAGTTTGTGCTCGTTGGGTCCCACAGTTGTTGACTGAAGACCACAAAGGTCAGTGAAAAGCCATCACCTCAGAACTGCTGCAGAGATATCGACACGAAGGCGATGATTTTTTGCTCTGTATTGTGACAGCTGACGAAAGCTGGTTTCACCATTTCGAGCCTGAAACGAAACGGCAGAGTATGGAATGGCACTATTTGCATTCTCTATCAAAAAGAAGGCAAAGACAGTGCCATCAGCTGCAAAGGTGATGGGCACAGTCTTCTGGGATGCAGAGGGGTTTATTCTGGCCGAATTCCTGGAACCTGGGCAAACCATCAATGCTGCTCGATATGTCCAGACGCTGCACAAGCTCCGTTGTGCATTGCGCGATAAATGTCCGGGATGAAACATCATCATCCTGCATGCCAACGCTTGCCCCCACACCGCTCGCCTCACATTGGAAGCAATTGCAAAGATAGGGTGGGAAGTTCTTCCACACCCCTCCCATAGCCCTGATCTGGCACCCTCCAACTACCATCTTTTCGGATTTATGAAGAATCAGCTGTGTGGACAACGTTTTGAGCCAAGGGAGGCAATTCAGAAAGCAGTGCGTCAGTGTCTTCGGATTGCTGGAACGGAATTTTACAGAAGGGGAATTTTCAAACTCCAAGAACGCTGGAAGAAATGTGTATAAAGAAGTGGTGATTATGTGGAAAAATAAAGAAAGGTCTGTAGATTGAGATGGTGTATTTGGTTTGTCAATAATAAAAAATGTTACTTTACAAAAAATTGTTACTCATGACTTTCAGTACGACCCTCGTACAGTTGCCTTCTAATGTGAAGCCTGTTGCTATTAATTAAGTTCTGGTTACAGTATCATGCCAGTATGATTATTGCAGCTGATAAAGATGAAATATCAGTGCAGACATTTAGTATAAGTTAATATTTTTAAGTACAGTTTAAGTTTGCCTTTTAATAGACTGTGATATGCCAACAGCTGAGCGTGGTCAACTAATCCAGCTTTCTACTGTATCATGAAACATACAAATATCAACTAGAATGATACGATTCAACCATAAGTTATTTTATGGTGTTCATTCTGGAAGGATATTACATTATGTTACAGTACATTTACTTACATTGCTCTCTTCTGGTATATGATACCGTGTACAATAGTATGGAGGAACCTTCTGCCTCCATTGTCATTTTTGACAATGAAAGCAGTACAAACAACATGGCATCACAGCCCTGAAGACAGTACCATTAATAATACTGTTATTTTCCAATGAAAGTTTGCAATTTTTTTGATGCATCGAATAGACGGATTCCATAATTCCTGGTTGATAATGTCAAAAAAAAAAAACAGTGAAATTTTTAAGATTTCAGTTAAGTTTGTACAAGGGGAAGCAGTGTACAGTAAAAGCTGAGATATCTGGCACTGGATGATCTGGAAAGTTCTATTAACTGGAAATTCACTAATTGTGAAATGACAATTAAAAGATTGAAATATTGGTGTCTTGCCGGTTCGTTTAGATTAAATATACACGATGTTATATAAGTAGTAATGAAGAGGGAATAGAAAGTGTGGCAGGGAAAACAAAACAGGGTATCAACTGACAAAATCATTAGGTCTGTCCATGAGGTTGCTATATACACTAATGAAGATATTAAGTATAGTGTTTAACCCAGTGCTGGTGAGGTGGGGATATGTAACAAAAGCAGTAAGGTGGGGTCCCACAAACCCCAGTCATTCCAACGATTACAATGACCGCACCTTTGATTTTGTTGTAAAACAGAATGTTTTCTGGCTTAGATGTTCTCTCATCTACATTATCATCATAATGTAATGTGGAAATCATTATATTTTTTTGGCACAAAGAAACTATGGTGATATTGCATTGAAAACCAAAAATTTAGTCATTGGGCTTCTTCGCTTTGTATTGATGAACTCAGGTGGTAGTTTTCTTTTATTTTTCTTTATTGTTCCCACCATAGTTAGCTTATGATCTTCTAACAAGGATTTAAGCAATGGGTAACTTGTGAACCAATTATCTAAAGTCACATTGTGACCTGTTCCAAATAGAGGTGCAATCATCCTTGTAAAACTTCAGAAGGTGTGTGTGAAACTTGTATGGGCCTTTGAGTTGTGCACCAACGTAAACTTCCAATTTAGAAGTATAAAAGGACTAGGCATCATCCGAAGCAAATACTTTCAGCCCATACTTTGCCGGTTTGATTCAAATGTACTGACGGAAACTGCATTGTCCACGAAATGCTTCTGACTTTTCATCAATTGTGACGTTTTCTCCTAAAGAATATACAGACTCACATACGTCATTGAATTTATCAAAAGTTTCTCTAATTGGAGCCAATTTGTCCTAAGATCTTCATTCAGTTCTAGTACTTCGGTCGTCAAATCGCAGACGTCTAAGAAGAAAACGGAAACGAGAAAGTGACATTGTGCTTCTAAATAATTCAACACTGGTACCATCCATGGCCCATAGATCGTCCAGATTCTGGTGACTAGACTTTTAAAAACCAGCTAAATACAAAAGTCCAAACACAGCCTTTATTTCACTCATGTCACTCTTTTGAACACTATTATTTTTGGCATAATTTACTTGCTTTCTTTCTAATTTGGCATTCATATTCTTCAGAATTAGGTCTATCATGTCATCAGGAAAAAATATCTCAATCTAAAACTGATCTTGCAGTTTTTGTGTTGCCCAGAACACCATGGGCTTGGCTAATTATGTTATGTGCTCAAGTTCTTATTTGAGATCCTAACTTGTTTTTACTCCATCTGGTTTGCTTATCCTTCGCCAAGTAAAAGGCTCCCTCTGTGGATTCTTCCTCACAGTCGTTCTAAATGAATTTCACTATCATCATCTTGGCTAAATGGTTCATCTGTCAAAGCGTCATCTATAAGTTGACGTAACCTCTGTTCTTCATGCTCATAACTCATCTGGTAAAAAATATATTATTCTCAAAATACCCTCTACATATTTCTGAAAACGTATCTGCTTATAGTTGGTATGTAAGAATATACAAGACACAGCAGTTATGATAATATTGTAGTAGAATATACATGAAAACAACCCAATTTTTGGAAGAAAATATAGTCACACTTTTGGTAAGGTGGGGTCTGGTGGACCCCAGCACAATTTACACGTCTGTACACTAAATGTGCTTGCACACAACAGCCTGTCATCTATGGCATTGAGTAGTGGGTTACGGGGGGGAAGCTACACTGAGGCACGACTCACTGCCACACGTTTTTAAAAAGTTACAGTCAAATTAAAATCTTCGAGGTCTGTGACACCCCACCTTACTAATGCCGGGTTAACATCTAGAGAATTATATATGGCAACTTTCTTGTCCTGGATGTGCAGGATACTGCAACTTCTACTGCGTTAGTTGGTAAGCCTACTCAAAGAGGATACATGGTAGTCCAACATTTAAACTATAGGAGGGTTTTGAAATGGATTTTAAAGGAATTAAGATGTTAGATAGTTTGAATTGGCTCCTAATAGGCTCTTGTTGCCTTAGTTGCACCATAGGACTCCATAACAACTGAGAATTCCTTAATGTTTATTGGTCGAAGAAGAGTTAAATAGGTTGGTTTTGGTCATTTGGTCTGCTGGTTGAAAACAGCAATCAATCAAGTGCATAGGTGTACTAACTCTAGGTTACGAGATTTTTCTAACTGGTCTGTCAAACTGACTTTCGCTTTTATAGTTGAAATGTGTTATGTTAGTTGATATTTGTGTGTTTTATAAACTAAATAAAACATAAAATTTATTTCAAAATAATAAATGTTCCATTAGAAGGATTAAAATAAATAAATAAGTTGTGTTAAAGATAACACATACTTGTCAAACAGATGCATATAAAACTTCATAATATCATTAATTATAACAATAGAATAAATTGGTCTCCAAAATACATCCTCATATAGAGTATATTAATATCAAAATTGCCTTATTTCAAAAGTGTGACTGTGTTCTTAATATTATTAACATAATACAAGTACTGTAAAAGCTGGTTTATGTGATGAAATAATACTACCTATTCTAAACATGAGACGTATATTTCTTCTTGAGTGATCATTTCTGTTCAAAGTTGTCACTTAAATTTCAGTTCTTGAACACATCATCCATGTTTCCATCCAGAGCATCATCATCTTTGTGTCTGAAAATGAATAATAAAATTATAGTGTGTGAACATGTAATGGAATTTTATACTAATGTAATGTAGATAAGATTGATATAAACAAACTAAAAATCTAATAAATATCAGAGGAATGAATAAAGCTCACAAAACTCACAGTAATGACTAAAGATGTCTCAGGCTGTGTGAAAGCTTAAGAGGTCCTATGTATCAGGAATAAAGATAATATGATGAATGAATTGATTGATTGATTCTGGGGTTATTTAATAACACATTTTTAGCTGCATGGGTTCTTATATAGCATGGACTGGTAAGTTTATTGTGAATAACAAAAACAAAAAGGAATACAAGGGTGTGGTCATGACAGATTTTAATGTGCTACTCCAGCATTACAAGAAGAGACTACTGAACTTCATGATAATTCTCAGTCAGGATAGCTGGTCTCTAAGCTAAGATTCAAATCAATGACCTCTTAAATATAAAACAAGATTGCAAATGATAAATACTTTTTGGTAATATTTATCATGTAAATATCTTGGGGTATTTTTTTACTTACTTTATTCCAAACATTTCTCCTTCTTCAATTGTATCTGGTAATTTTTTGTTCAGTGTTTCTGGTAGTAAGAGAGACAGCAGACCTCCACAAAGGGCAAGTGCACCATATATTAACAACGGTAGAGGACGCCACTGGTCACCCTGCGAAAAATACAGTCCTCCATCCATGACAAATTTCATATCAGAAGTTGGCATAAACACAAATGGAAAGTTTACTCTGCACTGGAGCAGTACAGTCCTGATAGTAGCTGATGTATGAGGGATATTTGGAAAATAATCCCCAATGAGCTGTTAGAGAAAAAAATTATTATATACAAAAAATGTATAGATACTTAAGCTACTTCTTGATATAGTCACCACCAGAATTGAGGCACGTGTCATATCGGGGAATACATTTTTGTATGCCTGTGTCAATGAAGTCTGCCACCTGTGAGCTCAGCCACATTCTGACATCATCCATAAACTCCTCTTCACTGTAGAAGAGCTGTGATTGCAACTGTGATAGTTAAGGTAGGTAATTGAGTGGTAGTCGCTCGGAGCAAGATCAGGGCTGCAAGGAAGGTGGTCAAACAATTCCAAGTTGAAATGGATAACAGCGTGAATTTCACAGCTGGCAGAATTATCAATCACAGGAAACATCATAACTCACTCTGTAGAGACAAGAACAAACACTAGGTGACCAGTTATGTGATCACATATAAGGCAGTGAGTCATGTGATGCTACCTTGCATGTGCAAATTCTGCCCCGCTCCTACATTAGTTGCTTAAAATGAATGGAGGTTACTTTCTGAATACCCCTTGTATATAAAGCACGTGTTTCTTTATTATGGCAGATCTTAAACTGCCCACTTAGTTTGTCCTTGTTTCAAATATCTATATGTAATTTATGCTGTTCCACCTAAGTTAGAGACCGAGTTTAACTACCATACTAGGACCTTGCACAATTTCCATTTTACAGATGCACCGGAACCTCCTTTAATGTTCATATCTTCTGGGACATGAGGTTGTATATTCTTGCAGGAGTTCACCGACATTCCTCTGAAACCTTGACAAAAGTCTAGTGGACTATACGATGTCACATTCCAGAAAACAGTACTTTTTAGTCACCAATGTCTGAATTTCAAATCCAACAATGAAATGTTTGTTTTTATGTTAGATTAAAACACAACAGCTTGAATTGTATGCACTGCTTGGTTGTGGAGGAAATCAGATGACAACAGCAGAAGTATAAAGTCTTCACACTTTTATTTTTGCAAATCCACATATTTGAAAGAGCCTTTTTCCTTTTGGTCCTTTTATTTCAGATTTCCTGTTAGTGAAACTTCATTTAAAACAATTTAAATTAACTTACCAGAAGAAGAGTATAAGGCGCAAGTATTCCTCCGATTCGAGCTGAGGTAGAAGCAGCACCAATTCCTATGTTTCGTACAACTGTTGGGAACTGCTCAGCTGAGAAAACATACACTGTCCCATATGAAGATGTGATGACCATCTTTCCAATCATTGCAAGTGTGATAATGAGCCAGTTCATATCTGCAAATTCAGTTCATATAACAGTACTGATATTATTATTCATGCCTTGACATGTTTGTTTCATGTCTGGTTGATAATTTTTAATTTTCATACATCACTTGATATAAGAACATATTTCTAGACATAGACTATATATTATATTACAGCATGTAGACCTGCTATTGGGTAACGACCTCGAAACAAACAATCAAAGAACATCTGCCGCTAGGCAACATATTCATGTAAGTATAAGTGGCCGTTCCTGGGTAACACCTTCACGTATAAACACGTTCCTGTGACAACGAATCCAGATGCCACAATCGAGGAACTGCTGAAAGCAGTGTTTTCTGCATGGTCCATGCCAAGAGATTATCAATAAGACAAGTTTAGAAGTTAGTTATAAGAGAGTTGTAAGGGGGTCTGTGAAGAGAAGACTAGGAGGTTGGTGTAAGACAGCTGCCAGCCTGGGAGCTAGACAACTGGAGCAATAGTAGAGTTGTGGGATATTTGCCAGACAGTATTGAAGTCAGCATGGAAGCTGAAGAATCTACACTGTTAGTAGCTACTACCACGGAACGACTGGTAAAGACACAACAGACTGAAAACACTTAGCATGATGTGATTTGTGAAGTATGGAGATTAGCAATGGCGCTATAATTAGTTGTAGTCATGAGCCGTGTGTTCAAGTGGTCAATAAATCCAATCTCCAATCCAAAATCCTGTTGAGAGTCACTCCATCATGTAATAGTATTTTAGAGATTCTGCCTTATACAATTTATATTCTTAATTTTATTAACTCCTGCATAACTTTTGGTTTCAAGTTTCTCTAGTCCCCAAAGTAATTTTTCTCTTGAAATTTTCTGGCCAAAATTATACATTCATTCCTCATATTCCCATGTGTACTACATATCCTCCCATATCATCTTCCTTCATTAACCACCTTAAGGTTATAAGCCAAATCAGGATTAAATGTTAGCTTCTCATAGTGGAGACTCCAATACAATCCTGGTTGACTTCATGTAAGATTCATGATGGCTAAATGGCCCTGGACCAGGTTTTCCTCCAAGTTTATTCCATTTTCTCCTGCTAATATTAACTTCATCATTACTCCCTATTTATTTATCATCATCTCCTGAGGTGGTAAGGAAGTATTTTTGGTATTACAAATTATCGAGGGGCTCCATCATGCAATGTCCTTAATCCTTTTGTTCTTTATTTTTCTTAGATCAAAGTATTTTGTTCACACCTCTCCCTCTAACATCCCAATTTACCATATGTTCTTCCTTAGGATATGAGACCAAGTTTTACACCATACAAAATACACGTAGAACAGGACTGTAGCATGTAAACCCCTTGGTAAATAATGACTCTGTAAACAACGCCTGTTGCTAGGCAACATATTCCTAACACACACCAGCAGACTAATTGGGAAGTGGTGTTCTCTATGCAGTCCATGCAACAGCTGTATGATGCAACAATAGAAGAGTTATTGGGAGAGGTGTTTTCTGTGCAGTCCATGCCAAGGTGTTATAAGAAGTTTATACAAGTCTAGAATTTGGTTAGTTGTGAGACAGGCGCCGGCCAGTAAGGATGTGGATATGGAAGCTAAGGAAGCTATGGTGGAAGCCATTACCAGGCAATCACTGGCAAAGATACAGCAGACTGAGAAGACTTTTATTTTTTTTATTGCTAGTGGAGTGGGACTAAGTCCTTCATACTGTGGCCACTTCTGGCCAATTGTACTAGCCCCAGATGATAGGTGAGGGTGATTGTGGAGCAATTGATGGAAAGAAGATTGGCAGGGGAAACCGAAGTACTTGGAGAAAAACTGCCCCAGCGCCATTTTGTCCACCACAAATCCCACTTGACCAGACCTGGGATCGAAACCGGGCCGCCGTGGTGGGAAGCCAGCGACTAACGGCTTGAGCTATGGCGCGACCTTCCTGAGATGATTTAGTGTGTGCTGTGGTGAATTGCAGAGTGTGTGTATTAGTGATAGTCCTATAGTTACTTGCAGTACAATCTGTAAGTGTTTAATAAATCCAGTCACCAATCCAATTTACAGTCACTCATACATGTGACACTATTATAAAAATGATATCCAAGACCTTAACATATTGGAAATCTCTGCTGAATATAGTGATGGCATTCTTTCCACCTGGATTTACCTGAAGGTACCACACTTGTCAAAAGCAGAGCCACACCTCCCACAATCATACAGCCACAGAGTACAGCTTTGCGGCCCCATCTGTTGAGAGTGAGCAGAAGGAATGCATAGCCTGGATACTCTACTGCCCCTGCCAATAAGAAATTGATGTAGTCATTGCCACCAAGGTTTGAGGTGTTCCATGACAACCCATAGTAAGTCCCACTGTTGACAAACCTGAAAGGGGCAATAACATGATATAAATAGGCCCTTCAAATGTAAACAGAATTCCACTAACTAAATCCACTTCATACCACAATCAATAAATAATTTAGCTAAAGAGATTTACTGTTATTCAACCAATAGGTTAATCACTGTGTTTACCCTACCACTGAGTCAGTTCAGTCCAATTAACACATTCATTATAACCCCATCTATTCACTTTGTCAGAAGAAGTTTCTTTCCTTTTGCTTTTCAGATCAAAATTTTGTATGAATTTCTTTCTTTGCAATATCCATAAAATGAGACAAATTGTACAAAATGTAAAGCTCCTTCTGTGTAGTTTCCACCATGTGTGTGTACCTTTATCCCACTCAGGTCCACATATTCCCCTCAGAACTTCATTTTGAGCAGAATCATGAAGTAAAATAATAATTTTACATATTTTAATTTATAGGTGCTTTAGAGAAAAGACAGGAAGGTTGAGAGATTCTGACTTACCTCATTAAAAATAAATCCACACTGAAATTAATTAACAATATTTATAAACTTTGATTTTCATATTCCCCCTCCCCCATCTATCCAATATCTGTGTGTGAGATTAAAGGCCACGATTATGATCTTCTGGAATGTGATATTGAGTAGTTTTGAATATGGTACCATTGTTTGGTAAAAAATGCTGCCTCAATTTTCAGGTAATCTTCTATGCTGAAGACAGAGGCAGGTGGTTCTTCTGAAACACTGGTACCTATCTACCAAACTATACAGTATTACATCCCAGAAAAAATGTAATCTTGATACTCACTGTTGTAAAAATCTCAAATTTTATATGGTCTCTGTGCATTAAACCAATATGACTATTCTTACATAAAATCCCTGAACAAAGATTAATATTATATGCTATAAGTCACAGGACTGTTATGAATTAATAAATACAGAGATATATCTTGCATATCAGTATCCTTATCTTTGATAAGAATCCTGCGACATTTAAAATTAAAATAAATAAATTATTTGAGATGATAAATGAATGGTTTAGGAAAAATTAGCTAGTAATAAATTATGAAAAAACTTATTTTCTACAGTTTAGAACTAAAAAGAGTAAAAACTTAAATGTTCAAATTAGTTATTTAAACAATCAAATTCCAAGTATTTCTAATATATCGTTTCTGAGATTAAAAATTGAAAATTTTTTTAACGTGGGAAAGTCATATTGATGCAGTAATTGATAAGTTAAACAGATCCTGTTTTGCAATCCGATCAGTTAAATCCTTTTTACCACTGGAGACATTAAAAATGATGTATTTTTCCTATGTACATTCTATAATAACGTATGGATTAATATTCTGGGGTAACTCCCTGCATAGTGTAAAAGTGTTTAGGATGCAGAAAAGGATAATTAGGATTATAACAAATACAACAAAGAGAACATCGTGCCGTAGTTTGTTTCAAGAATTGGATATCCTCCCCCTACAAGATCAATATATATTGTCGAGCTCTCTGTTTGTTATAGTAAATAAGGAATTGTTCACATTCAACTCACAAATGCATAATTTTAGTACCAGATCTACTTGTGATCTGCATTATCCACAAACTAGTCTAACACAATTCCAAAAAGGAATATGTTACAGGGGGGTAAATATCTTTAATCATTTGCCACCAAAAATCAAATCTATGTCTAATGACTTGAAAAATTTTAAAATTCAGTTGACAACATTTTTATTGCAAAACTCTTTTTATACATGCGATGAATTCTTTAGTAACAAATTTGCCTAGAAATAAGGATAATAGCATAAACAATTTTAATATTGCATAATTTTATGTATAGTGATGTAAGACTGTTTTTTTGATATAAATTTAACACATGTTTTTTTTATCTATTTTAATGACTATAAACTGTACATATATATTTATATTTGTATTGTACTATATTAACTATGTGACTGGTTCTATATCTATGTATATGGATTTATGGAATATACAATAAATGAATGAATGAATATCGTATAATAAATAACATTGCATTTTGTAATTTATAAATCGTTCAGTTATGAATATGTGACCATTTTTCAGGTTAAAATTAAATTCTCTGACTTTGTGGGCACAAACTGATATGGCAGAAGTGAGGAATGATATTCGTTTTTCTGACCATCTAAGGGTTCTAATGTCATATCAATTTATTAACGTTACAAGACTGCTGTACCATAAATTTGAAGGTAGACTTGAAAAAAATTATAAGACATCAGCATGAACTTCCTGCCAAGTTGCAAAAAATTCATCCAATTAATTTAAAGTTATTATGTAGACACTAAGACAGTATGTATTATCCTGCAAGGATGCTTTCCTTTCACAGGAATAAATTCATTTTCATGTCAGGACTTAAATATTGATGTTCTGTTAAAAGAATGGACATTTATATGTGCCTAATAAGTTACTATACTAGAGAAATATATATGAACAGTATAAAAGATTCCTTCTGTTGTACATTCAATTAATTTTTTTCTTTAATTTTATATTCAGATGAAATGTTAAGATGCAAATCTCAAAAGTAAACCATTATGAAATCATGCTGATGTAATTACCAGCTGAATAGGATGACCAATGTTCTCTTGCGAAGATTTGGATAATGAAAGAGATGAAAAAGTGTGGCCTTCCTTGCTCTTGTTTTCTTTTCCCTTGCTCCTTGTTCACTTGGAAGATCACCATTGGCCATTCCAGTTTTGGTCAGAAGGTTATCCAAAATATCTTCAGGGATGGTTACCTTATTTTCCTTTGCAGCCTTAAGGAGTATTTCTTTTGCTTCAACTCCACGGCCTTTTGTTATTAACCAGCGTGCAGATTCTGGGACAAACCTGAAATGTTACTACAAATTTATATTTTACATATAGTATATTCATTCTTTTTTATGGGTTGTTTTAACAATGGTGTTAGTAGCTCAGACTTGGTATGGTAAGTTTATCGGTGAATAACTGACTGGAAAAGATGCATCAGTAGAAGGAACTGGTCATGGCCTAATTTTAGACAACACTTGCTCAGAGGGACTCAGGGAAACAACAACAAAGCTACATCAGGATAGTTTGTCTCTAGAATGAGTTTTTAACATGGAGTCTCTGGAATATAAAGCAGGAGTGCTATCCACACAAATGTGAAGTTCAGTATCAAAATATGTAGACTGAATAAATGTTAAACATTAATTGGTTCAAGTCTTAACATCATGCCATGAGGGCTTTCTTAATCAGTATGTAAAGAGGAATGGTCAGCCATGCCATGAAGGTTTTTTTTTTTCAGTATGTACCGGGGAATGGTCAGCTTTATACTCCCAGAAGCTAGCATCCAGTACTGTCTGGATAGAAGGCTAGCAGGTCCCTAAACCATTCTGGATGTGGCCTTTAAATGAAAAATCTTCCCCTTAATGAAAATCAAACAAAATGTTCAAAAGATTAAATTTTTGTAATGAAATGAGCTGCATGGTAGAGGAGTTAAACTTAGGGAATAGTTGACAACGCTTGCTGAAGTCAGTGCTATACCTTCCTCAGCCAGAAGGAACTATCCTAGTTTGTCCAGATGTACTGGATTTATATTGTATTTCATTTATGACTGGCTCTCATAAATACTGTCCTTACATGAGATTTTCAACTAACATATTGTATATTTGTCTCATTTCCTACATGTCCCTAGTATTTTACCCTATTTCATTTCATTACCTAAGAGGTAAAATGTGATGAGAACATAATTTGACATTTCTCACTATTCAACCCCAACCTGCGTCTAATGCAAATACATTATGTATACATACCACCAGTAACACAGGAAAACAATGCCTGGAGCAGAGAGCGCAACTTGCAGAATCCTCCAATCTTTAATAAAGTAAGCAAAGGCTGCTGTCAGGATGTAGCCAGTAGTAAAGAAAAATTGACAAACCACTCCAGCATACAGCCGTTTAGTAGGGCCGACCATCTCCATAGCTGCAATACATACATGCAAGAAGCAAAAGTAAAGGCTTAGTCATAGTAATATCTGAGGAATGGGAAGTCAGTAGATACTCATATGACTTAAGAAAGTCCTCTCATTATGGGACACAAAGTACAACATTTTCCTAAGCTCCAGTTTAATAGTATCCTCCCATTTACATCTCATATCACAAGTAATTTCATTAAACAACACCTTCAAATAAAAAAAATTAGTATATTTTTCTTCCCTTCCATTCATTCTTTGTTCCCCATCATAATCCCCCTACATTTAATTATCTTAAAATGGCAGGTGAAAACTGAAATGGTAATAATCCTTCCTCCATTACTCAAAAATGATACAGTTGATCTACCAAAGAAGTTTTATCATAATTTTAGTCATCATGAAACTTCATATACTCACCAATTACATATGCTACCAAGAACACTCCTGATGTTGTAGAACCAATTACAAGCCGACACAACATGAAAGTATAATATTCTGTTGCCGCTGCTGCTAGTAAACCGAAGACCACTTGCAATACCAAGGACAAGAAGAAGATAGGTCTACGGCCAAATCTGAGAAATAAGAATTTCATGTATTCAGTATGCCATTCATACATATTGACAACAGTTCATGTTTAAGTAAGCGTTTGCTATTTACCTGTCTGACATATCGCCAAATATAATTGAACCAAGTAAGGCCCCAACCATAAATAAAGAGTCGGCCATGACACGGAAGTGAGCATCATCACAAACCAAGTTAAACTGTGAAGAAAAACGCACCATTTTGGAATACAACATAACAAACAAGTAGATTTCAATAAAAAATGTGGAAGGCTGTATAATAAAACAATAACTTAAATGGTATGGACAGTATTTGTTTCAAAACTGGTTGTTTTTTCCTTGTATATCTTTGGTACATGTGGAAAGAAGCCTGTCCTGATGCATCGGGTACATAAATCGACCTTTTGCTGCAGTCTGTGAAACAAATTAACAATATCAATATAATATAAATAATGGTCCTTTCATTATAATTTTATTATTAATTATTTTTGAATGATATGGAAAAGATGTGTTTGTTTAGAAGTTACTACAGACCCATACTAAATTAAGGAGCAGAAATGTGTGCATTGGTACACACAGAGACTACGCAGACTAACAGCAGCTGAGATGAGATTTCTAAGAACAGAAGGAAAAACCAGGAGATAGAGAAGAATAAATGAAAGCATTAAAGGAAATTTAAAAATACAGACCACTGGATGATAAATTAATGACTAAAAGAATAAGATATATGGGCATGTTTCAAGAATGAACGAAGAGAAATCTCAAAGGATTTGAACATCAAAACTAACTAAATTCAGTGTGAATTTACATTTTAATTATTACAAACCACCAAGAAATGTACACAAATATTATTTTATAATGCATTTAAAATTTTAGTCGGAAGTCCCAGAAGGAAGAGACCACTTGAAGTCTTAATTGTTATGTGGGAAAATAATATTAAAATATATATTGAAACAAAGTGTCAGGGTGTGGACTGGATTAATCTTTGTAATTTGAGGTTTTCATGGTAGTGACTATGATTATTACTGTCTTACAGGATATGACACCATGTAGTGTAGTACATGTTTACTGACATTTCAAAGGAACATGCTACTTCCATTTTCAGGACAGAAAATTAAGCCAGGCATAGAAATGAATATAGATATATTGGAAGATGAGATAGTATTCGTCATAAAGACTGGTAAATATCTACTGGAATACATGGCATCCCACTCCAGAAAACATTAACCTGGCCTTTGCAGGGTCTAGTGGCAGGATGCTGTAGATATGGTAAGGAACACTTGGGTTCCATGAAAGGAAGATTCTTGCCTAGTTGAGTGAGTATCAGTTTCTGAAGAATTTTGCTCCATGAAGTATATTATTCTTTTACCATCATTTACATTTGATATGGGTCAATGGACCAAAAGACCCCAGTCCCTTACTTCTTCCCATATCTTCTTTTTTTTCACCAGCTCTTTCCTCCCTTCCTGATTGCTTCCAGTACATCAGCTAGTTCTATCAACACATTTAAAACAAAAACAGTGATAGAAAATGGAGGAGGAGAAGCAGAAGCAGCAGCAGCAGCAGTATAAGTCTTTTGTTGATATTATTCTTACTTCAGTAACAGCACTGCTTTTATATACTGAAGTGTCATAGATCCATTTCTCACATTTCACAGACTTGTTTGCTGTGATGCTAGAATTAAAATATTCTGGAGTAAAATTTGCATCCAGTCGTGTGCAACTTGACCAGCTATTTGCTTTTGAGTCCCATGGTATAGTCATGTTGATTTCTGGCAAGTTGTATGTGGCATTGTCATATTCATAAGGCAACTGGCATCTGTGAAAAGAAACTATATGTGAAGATGAACAAATTTTTACACAGTAATAGGATGCAGCACAAATAAGAACTTTCCAGAAGGGGAAATAAGCACATTAAAATTATGTTCAATTCACATTTGCTCATTTTTTTATTGCTAGTGGGGTGGGACTAAGTCCCTTGTACTGCGGCCACTTTCTGGCCTATTGTACCAGCCCCAGATGATAGGTGAGGGTGACTGTGGAGCAATTGGTGGAATGAAGATTGGCAGGGGAAACTGAAGTACTCAGAGAAAACCTTGACCACCACAAATCCCACTTGACCAGACCCGGGATCGAACCCAGGTCGCTGTGATGGGAAGCCAGCGACTAACCGCTTGAGCTATGGCGCAGCCCATATTTGCTCATACATGCAAAAATAAATGCAAACAATTATTTGCCAAATGCATAAAATTGATGTAAATGCCATACACATATGAGCTTGCTCACAAACATAATACACTGAAATTCAACCATTCTACTGCTGAGGTAATATTTTACCTCCTTACACCCTGTCAGTCTCACAACTTATGGACCAAGGTTTTATCAAGACATTTAAATCTTATAACACTTGAAATGTCCACTTGAGTTCAATCCATGTTAGAGATTATGGTGCTTCTGATAACTTGGAAGCAGTATGTATTATTAACATGATAAATTCAAGGAAATGATCTGGGTACGTGAATTATACATTAGTTGAGAATTGCTTGTCATAGGTTTGGTGGTGTGTGTGATGTCTGTCTTTGTTGTGAATTTTAATGTTTTCTAATCTAACTGTTTGGATGATATGGCTTTCCAGTGTGTGTGGAGTGGCAGGTTGTGGGTTTAACAGTGGTTTTCCCACCACCTGTGTGTGTTGTCCAGACAGCTTGGGCTGTCTGTGTGAGGCCTGATTGTATATATTATTGGACTGGGGACGAGTGATGTGTGGTCATCATGAAATTGTAATTTTGTAATTTTATAAATGTAATGTTTTTATATGTTGGATTTGTTATATATGTTTAAGCTATATGACCAAAATATTCTGTTACTTTTGATGGAAACTTTTATCGTAAATTTTAATCAATGATAAATTTGAATGTATTATGCTAGAGAGAAATTGTATTATGATGTAAACATACATTGTCTTATTTTATAAATCTTCTTGACAATTGCTTAAGAGTATTAGCAAGATAAATTGACACAATTCTGTATCTAAGGCTTTTGCCTACTATAGATGTAATGGAATAAGGAAGAAATAATAATAATAATAATAATAATAATAATAAT